TTCCCTTTTTTTTTTTTTATGAATTGTAAATCGTAGAGGATGTGAGAGTTACGTAGTTGCCTAAGAATGCTGATAATAACCTCCCAAGGTTCAATCAAGCCCCAGTCAAACTGTCGGGCTACCCACTGGTGCTCAACAAGGTCTATTAGGCTTACGGTCGCGAAATCTAGGCGGCCGTGGTGGTAGGAAAAACCGCCCATCTGCTCGAGGTATCAAGGGACAACCCGGAGTTTCATCCTTGTCATATGTGGCTGCTTGGAATGGTGGTCAGACCGATCTATCAATGTCACCTTATGAGCGAGATTCGGACTCTGCATTGTCAGGAGGACCGTTTAATTTGCTTAGGTCGCCTGTTCGAGAAGTATCCCGTTTCACATATGTACATTATAGATCTCTATTGAGAAACTCGAGGATGGACCAGAGATTGAGAATACCAATATTAATCTCAGCTACACCCTCCTCAAACCTGTTCAACCACCCTATATTATGATCGAACAGGATATTCAGGTACTGTCGGTCATTGTCCGGGTATTCCGACCTCGGAGTCCTCCTAGGAAATATGTTCACTCTGAAGGTAAACCTGTGGCGAGCAAAGAAGTCATTCATGGCCCTCCGTGGGTGTTAGTGGGCTTGCTGACCACAATCTCCCCCAGACGAATGTCGACATTCTTGTTCGGGACGCCTCCGCCAATTCCGACCATCAGGCCAAAACCGAATGGAGCGGAAGCTGGAGAGCAACCGCATGGCGACGACCATAAAACAGGCAGTTCTTGCATCGTAGGAGCGTTTCAATGTATAATTTATGCTGCATCTTGCGGCTTGCCTTTAGATCGTGTCTGATGGCCATCCCAGAATGATATCAATGTAATTACCAGACCGCGGAGAGTCAGTCCAGATATTATCATACATCTGTAGTTCTATATATACAAATACTATCTCTAAGACTAAGAGATCAACCCTGAGGATAATTGGCTCACTGCTTTCTTCGTCTTGGAGCCGGACTGGGTGCAGACTGATCCCGGGGGGGGGGGGGTGAGTGAGAATGCCGTTCACCCTGCCATATTTAACTTATTTATATTTGTACTAGAATTTGAAGATGTGCAGCTTCACAAGCTATATGCTTATCTATAACTCTATTCATGAATTCATGGTGTGACCTGGACAATCTTATGAGATTAGAGTAAGTTGTAAATCAGTTCACCGCAAACCAAACTCAACTTCCCCTGATATACGATGAAACGTCAAATGCCGCAGAAACATCTACTGGATGTTTACCTCTTCATAAATAAAACTATGCAGTTGTAAAATTCGTCCAATGCGATTCTTTTTTTTTTTTTTTTTTTTCCCACCCCGAGTAGGGAGATGTGTAGACCCTATGATAAAAATAGCAAGGATAATAGGTGGAGAGTTGCAATCTAAACATAAACGTTACATGCTTGAAAAAAAAAAAAACCCCAGCTCGTGCAAATGCTATGCCAAATTTGACGGATTTATGGATATCACCCGATGAAAAGATTAATAGAAGGATAGGAAAGGTCATGCGATGGTAAGGAAGAAACAAACAAGTACTTCATCTTGTTGGCTTCGTGACAAGACAGACCAGCAAAGTATGAAGGTTAGAAAGGTATGTCCTGAGGAGAATAGCGAGGCGTAGCCGTTCCCTGAGGGAGCAAAGCAGGAGGTAAAGTACGACCAGGAGATTTTGACCGTTGCGCAGTCGTGCTTGAACCAATAGCTAGTGAAGACGGTATATACGAGGTCCGAGAAGACTGACTGGACGACGGAGATTCGTCCCGGGGAAGAAGCGATAGCCCTTGAGCACTATTGGACGAGGGGATCCTGTTGGTGTCCGACCCTGCACTCGAGGGCGGAGTGGGTTCTATGTTGGATTGGATACTCTGGGGTCGGCTGGTACTTTTCGGAACGTAGGGCTGATGTTGGATCTGGAGGGCTTGGTTCAGCTGCTCGTCTGTCCAACCGCGGCCGATGTGCACTTCATAGTGACCGTGTTTCTGGCCCAGAATGGATGTCCGACACCACAAATCGGCATCCTCTGACTTTGCGAAGCCAATGACAAGTCCTTTGCTGCTATCACGCAGGTAGACCATGGATGGAGCTAGTGGGAGGTAGACGGCATTGGGCTCGTTGGCGAAGATGCGGGATTCTCGATTACGGTTTTGGTAGGAGGCTGCTTGATTGGGCGAATTGAAGCTGAGCTTGAGCTCTTGCTTCTGGAAGTAGAAAAAGACATCTAGGGCAGGCTGTGAATTAGACATCATGAGATTCGGATGCCCGTTGAAAAGGGTCGATAATCCCCAATGAGTGGGAAGTTGAAACAGGATTTTAAGGAGCTGGTATGGTCCAAAAAGCCAACGCTCAGCTCAGCCCCTCCGCTATAAACAGTTTCCTTTAGCGTCTCCACTTATAGGGCGCCCGAGTCTCACTTGGGCACACGGATTACTACCTGGGGGCCGGATTTCAATCGTCTATCCGGTCAATCAAAACGCTTAAAGTGACGATGGTTTAGGGCTTGGCAATCCATTGATTTAAATAGCAGCACTGCCTCGTTGTTCCACTCTCCCAGCTGAAGAGAGATTCAGCTTGAAATATTTACCATGTAGCGAATAGATATAGATAAAATGCAATGGACCAAAGTTCAAACTTGAACTCTGCTATTCTTGGAAGATTCAAATATGTTTGAGCCATCGGATGCAAGAAATTTGGGTGAACTTCTCTAAAGGGTTTGTATTCCAAAGACAGTGCACATTAAACGCTTCAAATTGTCAAAGCCAAGACAGTAATTACAAAATAAGGTACAGCTAAAGTGACAACGGTCGTGGGCCATCACATTTGATCCACAGTGTCTGGCGACGGTGCAGACGAAGGTTCCGAGGTTTGCGAGGCACGCTGCTTCTCGAGGCACCCACGAAACTGACGATTCCAATAAAGTGTGTCAAAAAACCCAACAACAAGCCTGATTCTTCTTTTCTCTTCAGCTTGAATCAGTTTAATATGACGACGTAGTGCGGCCCCAAGCATCGTCGAAGAGCTTTGCTTAACCGCAAGCACGATGTCCTGGCCGCTTGATGATCTCCAATCCGCATCAGTAGATCTCTTGTAGTTCAATATGCTTGCCAGAGCCGTCAGAAAGGTAGTTCCCCTGAGGGGGTCCGTCATAACCGATACTTCGTTGAAAAGAAGATCAAGCGCGACTCTCCTCCTTTTGACCTCGATCACCGGTAATTTCTCTAGTTTGTCCCCCCCAAGATCTGTAGAAAGGGGCCAGAACCAGGAGGAGCCAGCGTTGTATCAATCCCCGACAACAATCCATGTATCGAAAATTCGGGATCGTAGAGGCGAACGGAGAAGGGATCCTCCAGTGCCTGCGCAATCAGCAAATCCGCGTCCCGGTCGGCCTGGATATACGGAACACTTACACGCAGAAGCAGTGGAAAATCGAGTTCGCTTATATAGCTAGTGGCATAGGAATCGTATATCCTCCAGGCGCGTCGAAAGCTGTTGAGATCATCTAGAGTAATTGGGGAGAGGCCGTAGGGAAATCGATATATACGATTCAACTCAACCAGGCCCGTCGTGGTCCTGGCAGTTGACAGTAAGCTCTTTAACATGCCGGGCTGTGCTGGACCCAGTCGAGTTAGATTCTGATGGAGTTTCCTTTGTCGGTCTTGTTTAGCTTCAAGAAGCAGCCACTCCAATTTCGTCTGTTCAACCCCAAGACTATAGGCGATGCTTGACAACGATTGGACATCCTCATAGGTGTTGTTCACATCATCGTACCTATAGTGATAGACAAGCTCCAGGATGGTATCCTCATACATCACCGAAGCATTATCTGCTTCCCTATCCTTTGCTGCTGCTCTATCCTCTAGCATCTTGTGCCGAATATATGAAGCAAGTGCCATCTTATAGGCTCGAGATTGAAACACTTCAGAGTCAAAGTCAAAAGATATACTCAGCCTGTCTCCATCATCGTTATCCTGTTGGTTGCCGATAGTACGGCATGTATCGGTATCACGAAGCAAAACAATAGACGTAGAATCATCACGAGCACGCTCAATGATCTTCTGAGTTTCTGGAACGGCCAAAGCAGACGTCTGCTCGGATTGTGTCGGGCTTGAAGAGCTTAGTCTTCATCCTCTCTCAGCATTGTAAAGGAATGTTGCTAACTTACAGCTGTACAACCTGTAATAGCAAGCTCAAAGCCTGGACTTGATCGCGGAGCATGTCCCGATACTGAGTGAGGTTGGTTTCAGTCCAAACCAGCTTGATCTTCTCAATCCATCCTTGTGTGTTGTGCTCTTTCATCACTTGAGTTGCCTGTTCTGAGAAAATCTCTAACAGTGACTTGCATCCGTCAAGGGATAGCTGCAAGTCCTCGAGCGATCCTTCGACCATGCATGGGTTACCTGTGCATGTATTCAGCCAGGATTGAATGTGTGTGACTGCTGCATTCACGGCGCTTATCTGGGTGCGCACTGTTTGCAAGTGAAGGCCACTGTTATTTACTTTCTGCTGTAGTGAGTGAAGGAGCCTTAGAGACTTTACTGCCAGCTCTCCTATAGCGATACAACTGGATACGAGACCAACAACTTCCATGGTGCAGACTTAGTCTCCAGAAGGATGCGTATAAATGTGTGGATGCAGGACTCATGTTAGCAGTCGTGCGGGGTTAAGTCAGTTAGTCAAGAGGAGCACAGCCTCGCTTCAGTTATCGCCCCCATCATGACACATAAAACTGCGATTTGGACATGATGTAGAACATATTAGGGCTAAATATTCGCAAGACAAATGTATATAACAAAGAGTAAAACATAACCCTGTCAGGAGCAACTAGGGTACGCTTGAACGGAGCTACCTGCAAGATAGTACAAACTATCTACGAGTTACTCTTCGGTAGGGTCAGCATCTATAAGTTTTAAGCCCCATTTTAAACTATCCGAGTATTACTGGAAGAAAGAAAAAATAAGGCGGGGTTCCTGGGCCATTCTCCGCCAGTATTCTGCAATAGGAGATTCCCTACAGGGCGCCAAATGCCGGGGCTTCTTAATAAGTACCCGAAAAGGCAGGATAAATGAGCAGCCCTACTGCATTAGATACGACAAGCGCCACATGAGCTATTGAAGGAAAATTTCTAAACTGATGGAAGTACTGACTAGGCATTAAAGGGCAAGTCAACTGAGTACCTATGAATAGACTTATTTGTCACTTGTGTGGACACCTCATTGGATATGTCCTAATCCGCATATTCTTACGAATAAAAACCAGTGTCTATCCTTTCGGAGGTCGCAGCCAGTCTTTAATTACGGTTCACTTGGTACAGTGTCTCGCGCCTTTCTCGGTGTACTCTGTTCAAGAGTCACTATCAGACTCCGGTCGATATGAGCGATCTTTTGTTGATATCGCCACCTGAGCTTCAAACAAACATGACCAATGAAGATGTTAGGCCTCTATTTCGTCTCTTAGCTTCTCACAGTTGGGAGTCAAAGGGCTGGCATACTACAAGTAGTCTTGTGTTGTTAACTGCACTGGCATTTGTGGCCTGTGTGTGCTTCACGAACAGAAAACGTCTTTTCGCGATAATTAGCCGTCTAGGGCATCCCTCGGCTATAGTACGCCAAAGCCCTTTGCAAGCTGAAAAGAAAATACCATCTACTCCAGGAAAGGAGCCATACAAATCAGTGGTACCTCCAAGTCGCCGACAGACAGCGTCTCCTCTGCTGGGCTCTGGGGTCGCTGGCCTGGACGAGACAGCCCCTTCAACTATTGAGATACTCCAGAACCATATGCCACTGGACAGCAATATCAAGGATCTTCATGAGACCTTTTATTCTCCCACTGGCTTCTCCAACGATGACGTGACGTATCTGGGCCGCTTTCCAGACTACGCCACACTTAGTGGTGTTCGTTTGCCCGAGCCACAGCACGACTTCAACATACATACAGCTATTGCTCGACCGTATAGACCCATCAGGTGGCCATATAATCAGACGATGGGTGAGTTTATTCCTACTATAGTGAAGCCTATGCTCATAGGTCAGCTCTAAGTAAGCTGGATCCCGATCACTGGATCGACCTGGACCGAAATTATACATTACGCGTTCGGCAGAGGCAGGAACTCTACATGCGTCATGGTAAAGCGGTGCTGGACTATCTTCCAGGATCCGAACATGCTTGTCGAGAATTGATGGAGATGGTATTGCAGTTTCTTTGTGCGCGATATCCCCACTATTTCCAGCTTCTCGACGATCAGTCTATCTTACAGAACGATATTCTCGGAACCGAGACCGACCTCCGCCTCATCCACCCTCTGCATGTTCTTTTGAATAACGTTCCCGAAGACTTCGCTATCATGTTGAGGGACCCAGAAACTGGTGAATATTTCTTGCGAGCTGGTATTATTTGTAGCTCTCTCGGCTGGTCCCTAGGCTTGAAATTGGGCAAGTGTATAGACGAGATTCATGAACCAGTGCCTGACTACGGAGAGAAATTGCAATTCTCTATGAATAGGTAGGCAGCAGAGATGGTTTTGATTAAGCTGATACCCACTGACCAACATCATAGATTCTTCGCAAAGATGCCCACAGATAGGCTCATTCAACGTGGATCATGGGGTATCGAGATTGATCAACCAATCCACATGCCCCCTGGGGATCCAATCGCCCTTCGCCATGAAACGCAAGACTCAAATATTGCGTTGGGCCGATACCACCTCCGCGTTGACTGGCAAACTCTACGACGACTCCCGGTATCCGCTGCTGTGGTGTTCAGCTTTAAAGTGTTGTTCACTCCGGTGACCCAATTTCAAAATGAGCCGTACATCCCTTCCCTCTTTCTAAAGAACTACAGAGAGGCCAAGCCAAATTTGTTGAAGCACAAAAATATATGGCATACCGAGGCGACTATCCTGCCCGCACTGGAGCTCTGGGAAAGGGAGCAGAAAGAGCAAGGCATCATTCCCGAAGACTGGCAACCTGCTACCTTGGATGACTACCCTCACTACCCTGGATGGAAAGAGCGTTGGGAAGCGACCCAGAGGCTTTAAATAAAACACGGTATCAGTGTGGTTGCACCTTTCGGAGAGCATGATAAGAGACTAGTTTCCACATCCATTACATGCTTATGTTCTATGGTCCGCTTTTTTCGTTGCTGTTCTTTGCATATAACTTTTCGGTGATTCAACGCTACTTACAGCATGTCAAAATCGAAATAAACCATGATGTAATATAAAATCGCCATGGTCGAGGCATCTGTAGAGGCTGAAGCTTTATCTCGAAGTGCTCATTTTATTGCACTAATCCGGAATAGCGCCCCCCCCCTCAACCCTAATCACCAATGCGGGGAAGACTCATTGATAACGATATTGATCATTGAAGTAACAGAACTGCCACCACTAGAGTTGCAAACGCAAATTATCGTTCACTATAGCCTTATTACCAGCAAAGCTTACCAAAGATCATCTGGGTCTTGCTATCCTTACCGCTCAGAAATGCTTGCCTTGGATGTCTCCCCTCTAACGGCCGGAAACCAGCACCCAAAGAAAAAACCATGGAGAGTCAAGGGTAATATCTTCAACCAAGCGAAAGCTGCGATCTACTCATACCCTCTACAGGTTGCTATAACTGCTCCCAGCGCCGTCTTAACTGTGACCGTGGCACCCCATGCCAGAAGTGCGTCAAAAAGGGACTCCAATGTTCCGGTCTCGGCGTACGGTATCGGTTTATAGATGGAGTTGCATCGAGAGGGAAGTTGGCAGGGAGATCGATGCCTGTGTCAGATACAAAGTGGGACCTACATTATTGCTCTGTTGGTCGGGCACTGTTAATTCTTTCATCCAGCAGTTCTGGCGCATCACTCCAATCACCGGATCGCTTAACAGCACACCCAATGTCTGCCAAGTCTACCAGTTGCCATAATACCAGCTCTCCGAGGGGTGAGGGTCATGGGCACAAACAATCACCTCGCTTTCGAATACTGAATAATGACATATTATCATACAAGTCGAGCAATTCGTCCTTTGTCTCTGCCCCGTCTCATGGTTTAGACCATGTTGACCACCAGTCTCGGTTTCTACTCAAATACTGTCAGTCCTTTGTTCCTTGATTGATCCGTCGTGGATAGATTTTTAAGTGGGAACAGTTTCGGAGAAAGTTGCACCAGCAATGGGACCCTTCAACACCGTCTTCAACGGCTATCGAGATCTAGTTTTACCTATGTCGGAGCAAGACCATACCGTCCAAAATGCGGTTTTAGCCGCCGCTGCTTCCCATATTTCGTTAAAGCATTGTGAATGGAAGCCACTAGCTTCCAGGTATCGGATGGCTGCCATTCGAGGGTTGAATCAGCGGAGTGTCGCAGAGGACCTGAACAAGTCGATCGATTACTCGAGTCTGTCAACTATGGTCCTTCTCCTTGTAGAGCAGATGATCATAGTGGGATCAGACTTCCATATTCTCCTTCGGATGATGAAGAGCTTCATAGAATCACAGCGGTGTTCTGACATAGTCGAGACGGAACCTCTAGGAACATTTTTGATGCAGCAGATAAGAAAGTACGCACAGCCTTTCTATAATCCATTTGAACCTTACGCTTACAGCTATATCATAGGATGTCTCTATACGCAGGGCCCTTAGTAATGGGTCTTTCTGCGGCTAAAAGTCTTGAAAATATGTCCAACAAGGACCTGGACTTCTTGTTCAGTTGCCTTAAGATCCACCCGGAGTATTCTTCGGTCATTTTCAAATTAGCCAATCTCATCCGTACGGCAGCTCAAATATACTTGAGTCGGGCAACCAACATGCCAAACCAGGTAATCACAGAACTAGTCCAACAGTTTCTGGCAGACACCACTTCTTATAATGCAACATCACCGGGAGGTCACATTCTGATTTGGCCATTTTTTATAGTCGGGGCAGAGTGCTCATCCAAGCAGGACCAGGAGTTTGTCACCATGCAGTTACAGAGTCTCTGGGATTGCACGGGCTTTGGAAGCCCGCTCTATGCGATCAAGCTGCTGGGAGATATATGGCAGGAAACACCAGGGACGAATTGGACGCAGACATTGGTGGATAAGGTGGAAGGGTTTATTATGTGAATAGGGCATCCTCCCGAGACCCTGTTGCGCTAATAGTGCCTAATCTAAAAGTCTTCGACCTCAAAAGGTCATTAATATTTCAGAACAGGCTCCTTTGTTGTGTACCACACTATGCACATTCTCATGACTCGAAAGCCTTTCTCAAGGCCTAACTGGAAACCAAATTAGGTTAAGGACACATCACATCTCTTGGCTTCGAAGATATGATTTTGCAGATTCTCCCCAAACCGCAGCCCGCTTATAGAAATGAAAGCCAGGCGCGTTTCCCTGCTTCAACCCATCAATTGCCTCGGCAAGAACCTCACCGAGCCCTTCTTCCTTGATTTCTGGGAGCGTGTACAGAAGGGTTTTGAATGAAAAAAGTATAGCATGGCTTTGGGGCAAACGGTGCAGAAATTGTCTCTCGGCACGGAGACGGGCCTAGCGGTCTGGTTAGCCCACAGTTAAGCGCAGATAGATCTATAAAAACATACGGTATTTATATTAACCTCTTCTTGAGGAATCTCTTCACCCTCATAAAGGTGGTTTCCAGACGCCGTGAACAGTTGGTCCGTAGTTGTGATGGTCCACTAGAGAACGATCAGGCCTACCAACCTTTCAAAAGTCAACCAACAAAGTACAGAGACAGGTCAACTCACATTGGCGCGTTTAATAAACCTGCCTACTCCGAGCTTTTGAAAAAAGCGATCCATGCTCTTCTCCAGTTTTTCTTTGTACTGGGGAACAGGCTTATGGATATCCCGAAGTTTAAGGCCCAACTTTTTCGAAGTGTTGAAGCCATTGGGGAAGCATGTCACGAAACCTCTGAGTGTAAATCCGTCTCCATCATCGGATGGCAGTAGAAAAAGAAGGTCATCCTCAATCAGGCCGCCCATGACCCGCAAGGTATCCAAGGGGTTCTCTTCAGGGGAAAGGGGAAATGTCTCGTCGGTGACCAGGCTGTGCAAGAATGTCGGCTTCTCCCCTGCGGATGACCGCAACTGAAACATACGAGGATATCGTGTTGGGAGATATGTTCCCACCAGCCAGGTGTAGAATTCGTCGACAGCTGGCTTGACACAACCCTCCGCGGCCAGTACCGTCTCAGGATACTCTGCCATGATTCTCTTGCGTAGGTTTATGCGATCGAGATAGTTCTTGTCTATTTCTATAAGCTCGCTGACTGTCCCTTCCTGGATGCCTAGGTTGGGGATAGGTCAGCCTTGTCGGATTCACTACGTCCATATCACATACTCATAGTAAGATGGTATTTCGACTTGAATGGCCGAATCTTAATCGGCTCTTTCGTCTTCCAATCGAAATCTGGAAGAGGCTCAACTGGTGGATAGCAGTGTGGCTCGCCCACATCTAGGTTTTCATCACTTGCGACACGACCCGTTGATTTAATATTTTTCTGCCGTGTTGCTAGAAAGAATAAGCAGCTGGAAATGAAGCTGAAGTAGAAACATGTAGACCATCCCGGCCACTGTACAGGGAGACTCGAGTTGAACATCGTGTACAGTTGAATTCAGATTGGCAGCAAGAAAAGCCCAAGGATGCTGAGGGAGAGAGATATATATATATATCTTCAGAGCCGAGGGCTAGAAAATGACAAATGGAAGCCATCATATATGCCATGCATACACAGTTTACTTAAATACAACGATCATTGTTCTCGATACCCCCCCCCCCCTCCACCATAATTCGATATTCGATATAGTGCTCATCCAACCTGCCTATTCAGGCATTCCGGCTTTATCATCCCTGAGGCGTGGCAGATAAAGAAAGATAAGATGCGGGGGACGATTTAATCTTGACCCCACATCACCTGACCTGCCACTGCTCATTTATTTAACCTGCTTGCTTGGGAGAGTGGACTTCTGGATCAATTGAGATAAGCTAAAATTACTTGATACCCGATTGAATACCTTGTCTGAGAGATTTTTGAGGGTTGCCTTTTCCTATCGAGTGTTAGTTAGGGCTATGGCCGCCGGTGGGTCATGGCAGTAATAAAAAAGCAATCTGGCTGGTGGCAACTGAGTTTATACTAGGACATGCATATATTATATCTTGTGATGTCAGGTTATGAATGAACTACCACTTGAATGGAAGGCTAATTACAATAAAGTCACTATAGATTGCAAAAATTGTAGTGCAGTCTGTTGTACTTTTCTTACAACCTTCCATGTTTAAAGAAACATAGAGAGACTCTTTCAAACCCTAATCGATGATTACACTAAACTTAACCTGACTGGTGCGGTAAATTACTCGTTTTATACTTACCAAGTAATAATAATACCAGACCTTCTATGATGATGTACTCGTATGAAAAATACGATACTCGAACTACAGTAGAAGCTCGGATGGCAGGCCGGGATGATCCGCAGCGAGAACGAAAGTCTAGCCACAAAAATTGGATGGCCCCATTCGGAAATGGTTTCGTGGAGTCGCTTAAGGGTATAGTGTTGAGTCTATGGCCAGGACAAGAGGTGAGAGATGGCTGGGCCTAGGCGAGGCCACCTAAGACGAAGTCACACCACTCAGGTCTCGGATACGGAATCCAAAAGTATGCTTGCGTCATGACGATATTATACGCGGCTAGATTACGCTATTGATTGATCCTAGGACATAATCGACGTCTCCAGAACAAGCAGAACCAAGGTTCCTGCCATGCCTTGACTTTCTAGTGGACAAGACCGAGGATATATAGAGATATATGTACCTTTGCAAAACCTTTTAACTTCAATATAGGTATCAGCTTACTAACTTCGCTGCACTACTCCGTGGAAGAAGAACGCCAAACAATTACTTCCCCCCATTCTCTCTCTTCAAACAAAAGAAAATCGACGTATAGCTTATTCTCAATGACCGAAAAACCATCAATACTGGAGGCTGATAGAGACATGGACAGACAGACTGGAGCAGCTCCTGCTGACCGGGCCAGTAATGGGGGTGTTAAGTAGGCGCTGACGAAAGAAAACTTTTGAATAATACCTATTTCCTATGTACTATGCTTAGTAGACTCAACCTACTTACAACCTCTCGATATATTAGTATGAAAGAAAAACCGGCCCCAACCTCATCGGACGCACCACCTCCGATTCAGTCGGCCTCAACACCAGCATGCCTCCATTCTCAAACCCCTGCACCAGGAGGGTATCCGCAAGTGATACCTTTGATTGCCCTATCAACTTACCCTGCTTTAATCGATTGCCCAAATTGCCGTGCACGGACAATGACTCGGGTGAATTTGACTCTTGGACCGCGAGCTACGTAAATCGCTCCCCCCTACGCTTGTCGATTTGATAGTAAAAATAACACCAGTCTGCAGTTGTTGGTCGTGCCTATGCTGTCTTTGCCTGGGCCCATGTGCTGCCATTTTACCCTGCATCTTGCCAAGTTGCAAAGACTACGAACATTATTGCGGAAATTGCAACAGGCTCCTCGCGGTGGTGGAACGAACGGGTGCGGTTCGTATTATAGTCTATTAGGCCAGGTATTGGTAGCTATGCAAGTATTCATATCAGAGATTATTGACAAAAGACCAGCGTATTAATATTCCAATATACCTTGCGGTCATACTGGTGGTAGTTAAAACACAACCATTCATCTTCATGTATAGGCTTGTCTGCTAAGAAAAAGGGTTCGCCCGCGTGAGTCAGTCTCATAGTTGATGATATTTTTTTTTTTTTTTTTTTACATCTTTTTCATTTTCGGCACCGGTTCACAGACTACGTCTATCCAAATAGTGGCCGTAGAAGGTATATGATGAATCAATTACTACTATGCGTGTGGGATTTTTGACCTCAGCTCTCACCCAAGAGCTCATTTCATCACGAACTTTGATGCTATTGGATCCCTACTCTTTCCATTACCCACGACTATACGGTGATTGTAGAACTCTTGGTTGTTCAGATCATAGGGAAGGTCGAAACACCTTTCTTACCCTTCTCTTTCCTTTTTCTTTCGCGGTGGACTGGGTTTCTTAGAAGATCCCCCCCCCCGCCTTTATGAATCAGGTATTAGTAAGAGATGGTATGGCTAATTTGCATTCTAGGAAGTAATCATAGTTCGATTTGATTTACAGGGTAGCAGCTTGAGACTCCGTATTCATATCAATGACTGTCTGCCAAAGGTTCACGACGCCTTTGCTTTCCCAGCCCTCATAGCGAATATGATCTAGTACCTGCTCTAATAGAACACGATCATCGTTGGTAATAGAGCCGTCATCACCCTGTGCAAGCATACGCTCGGCTGCCTTCTTATAAGCCAGTTTGTGAGCTCGGTGCTTGATTGTATTCCTCACTTCGAAGTAAAGCCACCGCCGACAGTGAGCAAGGAATCTGATTCTCTCGAGTGGGCTGCGGCCGTCGAGTTCGTCTCTGGAGTCTCCAGCGGGACCACCCCTCGTCATAACCCGCTGTTCTATCTCACTGGCGGTCAGTTCATACGCCTTGTTCTGTACCAAGGTTGCCAGTTGAACCGCGCTGATGGGCTTCTTCGCCTTCAACATAACACCCGTTGTCAGATGTTGAAGCTCACGTTCACCCATAAGGTAATCTGCCACGTCCTCAGCCAAAGTCTCAACGAGAGAGGCATAGGTATGTGTTTTCTCCGCTCTCTGTACCGCCTCGATCTCAGACGTGAACAGGACCGTGAGAAGCTCGCTGAAGACAACCCCATCCGAACAGCGAGGTGTAGGATCCGCCGTCTTCATTTTGGGGCTACGTATCAGGGCCGTCAACTTAGACGGGAGTTTGATCAGGTGCGTGAAGTACTTCGAGCCGTATAGCTCGGAGCATACGGAAGCAGCGGTAAGGTGGGCGAAGTCATGAAGGTCCCAGATTGCGGACGATTTATCCAGCATGCCGGTACTATCTTCCTCGAAATCTTTTTCTCGAACTGCAACGTGGTTTGGGCCAATCGATGAGATGGCGGTTGGAGGCACGAGTTTTGTTTGGTAGTCAACTGTGAAAGTGTTGCTGTTGACAAGGCGGTGGACACCGTAGTTGATGGCGCGGATGGCATTGTTGTCGCGAGAGAGGAAGGTGACGATCTCATTGAAGAGGTCTAAGTTGGATTCCACGGCTGGGAGGAACTCGTCACGACATTCTGAGCGAGCGGCTAGATATACGACGCCAAATTTTTGGACGGAGATGGCTGCGCTCCAAAGCGTCTCGTGTTGATCGAATGGAAGCAGAAGTGACTTGTTGTCCGCTCGTTCCAGAAGGATTCGACATCCTTCTAAGATGCACTGGAATAGGGGACGCTTGACTTCCTTCGTCCGGAGTCGGATTCTATCAGCGTTGTCGAAGTGCGGATGTGCAGGACAGTGGCCGTCTAACCACCACGTTGAAGGCTCATAGGCAGGAGGAAGCTCTTCGAAGGGGGTTAGGTGTATCTCTGAGGAAATGGAGGTTGGGTGCAGCTGTTTGTTCGGGGGTTGCTTGTCATTGGAGTGCGTTGGTTTAAGACGCGGGGCCTTGAGTGTCTCACGAAGAAGAGTTTGGACGGCAGTAAAAAGTGATTCCATTATGTCGACGTTTACAGAGACAAGTTTCACATCCCTACCATGGTCGACGCCTCTAACGGCTGCCTTTTATAAGAAAGCCCGTGCAACACTCTCTGTTTAATACTGGTTACAGTGCGTTCTTAATCATCGATATGCGCCACAGTTTCAGATAGGGCCTAGGGAATTTCAGGGTTTCGTCAGCTCCGCAACTCAAACGCATGCTCTTGCCGACTTTGCAGTAGCGTGGCACGCCTGGATCTCTTGCATGTCCGAGAAAACATGTTGGATTGATAGGATCTCATGATACTCGCTGGTGAGACACCGTAAGCTGCAGGTCACATTCTAGTTCTAGTGAGAATATGCTACTGAATTCTGCTGCGCCGAGAGATACGGAAATATATGGACTATACCATTCCGGGCCTTCGTTTCAATCAAAGTGTACCCCGGTCTTCCCCAGACCTTGCGGTGGTGTATGAGATATTTTTAGTATAATATTGCCTTTGTACCAGCCTCCTTGCAGAGATACACGGCGACTACTAAACATTATTGTCAGTCTCATAAATCCTTATTGTACCTTCTTAGGTTGTTGGGCCACTTTTCGCTATGTAGATCGTTTACCGTTTAGATTTACTAGATTTGATTTATGTGGTAACTTAGTTAACTAGCTAACTTGCTTATGTCATTTCAATAACGCGTGTCTCACTCTCACTCTGACTCTGGCTCTGGATCATCTTTTCTCTGTCTTTCTCTAGGACCATATGGTTCGATAGGAGGATGTATTAAATCTAGGGTTAATCTTTAAAGATCTGTAACTCCACCCGATTGGCTGTGGGGCCTTCTCGGCGTAATCCGAGTAGCAGGACCCTTACATTGGAATCCACGGTAATCGAGCCTCCTCAACACCATTAGGTAATATTTTGAGGCAGGATCAGGAAGGAGAGGGCATTGTCTACTTTGGGTAAGCAGTAGTGTGCGTCCTATTCGGAGGTAAATATTCAACGTGCAGTTAAGCTAAAGCATGGCCTCGTATCTGCTGTGCTCCCTTATCTCTGAACGATTCAACAGGCAGGGCCTGGACCCACGCGATGTAACTCTAGTCGGGGATAACCAATGATCCCCCTATAGCCCTTTGTATTAAGGCTTAGTTCATGGGGGCTAACAATTAACCTTAACTCCGACTGGCTCTCACACGCGGCAGGGGAAAAGCCATGAAGGAAACGAATCAAGGAAGAAAAATTTTACGCCCTTGCTTCCGCACACGAGGTTCACATACCTTTCAGCCGCCGTGGTGAAAACCCATGACTAAATATGGAATCTTTAAGTTCGAAATCAGTTTTTTTTTCTGCCTGCGTGTCCTTCAAATCGCAGTACAACTGTCCGAAGAAGACCAATCAAGTGTCAACCTATGGCGACCAATCCTAGTGCGGAGCTGAAAGGCACGGTGGCTGCCACTGGCACTGAAACTCCGGAGGATGCAACGAGGCATGTGGATCACGGCTTCCGCGCCTGGACAGTCGTGGCCGGGGCATGGTGTTGTCTGTTTTGTGGTTTTGGCTGGGTGAACGGTACGAATTGGTCCCATCCTGATTTCCTCTCCGGTGGCGGCTTCACTCCTGACAGGTGCTAGCCATTGGAATCTTCCAAGATTATTATCAAGCCCATCAATTGCGGACTTACTCGGCGTCTAGCATCTCGTGGATCTTGTCTCTGGAACCGTTTATTCTCTTTGCAGCGGGACTTGTCATTGGAAGGGTATGACCATCCGTAAGCCCTAATTGCACTTGGGTGGTCAGATTAATCAATTCTTCAGGTTTTCGATAATTATGGCCCCAAATGGCTCCTTCTTATTGGGACGTTTCTGCACGTCTTCGGTCTCATGATGACCTCCATATCGAAGGAGTATTATCAGTTTATTCTAGCCCAGGGCATCTGCAGCCCGCTTGGCGCAAGCTTTGTCTTCTACCCCGCGCTCTCCTGTACAGCGACCTGGTTCGATAAGCGACGGGCCCTGGCCTTTGGAATTGTTTCTAGCGGCTCTTCACTCGGTGGGGTTGTGTTTCCAACCATGCTGTCTCGACTCTTGCCGCGAATCGGATTTGGTTGGTCCCTGCGCATCTCGGGGTTCATGGTCTTTGCCATGCTGATCATTGCCAACCTGACCGTCCGGTCAAGAATTGCGCCCGTCCCGCGACCTGTCAAGCTTATGGATTATATCGGTCCCTTTTCGGAGGTGCCCTTTATTCTACTCATGCTGGCTGCCTGTTGTGGGTTTTTCGCCATGTTTGTCCCGATCAACTACGTTATTGTGGAGGCGCAGGAGGATGGGGTCGACCGTGACTTGGCTGGGTACTTGTTGACTATACTCAATGCTGCAAGGTACGTTTCATATTTTGATTCCTTTACGAGGTTGCTTATTAACTTGCATAGTCTTCCTGGTCGTATCCTGCCCGGCTACCTCGGTGACAAACTGGGCCGATTCAATGTCATGATTGCCATGTGTGCATTGTCCGCCGTAGTGTTGCTGGTCTTGTGGCTTCCCGGTACCCTTCTCTCCCCTGGAAGTGCGGCCATCTATATTGTCTTCAGCTTGCTGTATGGATTTGCTTCGGGTGCATTCGTCGGCATGGTTCCCGCCCTTCTGAGCCAGATCTCTCCCGACGTGACCAAGACTGGGGTTCGTCAGGGCGCTCTGTTCACTTGTATCAGTATTGCTTCGCTCACAGGGAGTCCTATTGCTGGGGCGATCCTGAGTCGACAGAACGGGACCTATTGGGGCCTACAGGTGTTTGCGGGAGCCATGATGGTTGGGAGTGTATTCTTCTTTGTGGCGGCGAGAGTAGTCCTTGCAGGGGTTTCCGTTGGGAAAAAGGTATAGATGGCAACATAAGTAATAGACTTGATTGAGATATATCAACATGTACAAACTTTATGTTTCACAATAACTATCACAGAGCTGCGCCAGCTTCACATCCAACTCGGTCAACCCTTTCGGATGGTGCGTGGTCCAGCGTATAGAGACCTTGTTATAGACCTGCATGTAAATGTCAGAAAGACACAACCACCTGGAAAAGTAACTCAAGACAACAACATACATTCGTCCACTCCGGGTGATGGCGATATTTCGCCGCCGCTTCAGCAACCAGCTGCATAAAAGCCTTCAAATCCAAATGTTAGCAAAGTACAACCCAAGAGCCATAATAAGCCATGATTACGCGCAAAGAACTCACCCAAGCCTTCTTAAACGAAGGAAACTGAATCTCGCGCTCAATCCCCAACCCATCCTCTGTCAACTCCCACCGTCCCCCATTCCTTACCAGCAAACCCTCCACCCCGGAAACAACACAATCCACATCCTCCTCCCCTTCCGCAACCACCGGCTTCACCACCACCACCTTCTCCTTCTCCTCCTTCCCCTTCCACGCAGCCCCATAAATCTTATCTCCAATATCCCCATGAGTATACGGCACCAAATACCCAGCCTCATCACACCTCTCCGCCTTCGCCGCAACAACCACATACTCCACAACCGGACAAGCCGCAACCCTCTCCAACGCTTCCGGCGCCGCATAACAACACAACACCGCCACCGACCTCTCCCTCCCCCTACTCATCTCCCAAAGCTCTTCACAAAGCTTAACCACCGTATCCCCCGTCGCAACCAACGTATCCAGCACCACGATCTTCCCCTCATCCGCCGCCGGCGGAAACGGCCTCCGACCCGGCCACTCGACAACCACTTCCTGGGTACCCTTTTTCTTACTGCATCGGGCCAGGACGCATGTTGTAGCCGGGAAGAGAGGCGCCGCGGCGACAAACATGGGTAATGCGCCGCGGAGGATGGGAATCATGGTTGGGTTGTGGGAGAGGTTTGGGTCGTGAGATTTGGCGGTAGTGATGAGTTCGGTGGTTAGGGCGTGGATGGTGGTTTGCATTGTTTGGGGGGTTGCGGTTGGGGAGAGGAAGGTTTGCATGAGGGTTTGGAGGGTTGGGTGGGTTGGGGGGAGGGTGAGGATGGGGGCTTTGGGTTGGTGCATTTTTTTTTTTTTTTCTGTTGTTTCTGTCTTTTTGTCTTTTTCTGGGGATTGTGAGGATTGTGAGGACTGTGAGGATTGGGGTGATTTTTTGTAAAGAGGTTTCAGATTTTAAGTGTTCAATGTTATGTAGAGTGTAGGTAGTTGGTGATGATGAAGTTAGAATATTTATACTTCGTTGTTGCTGCATCGTGTATTTATCACATGGTCGTTGTATTTATCTTACAGTTCAATGTGAACCAATACAATTACAAGGGTTTCTTTAGATTAATTAGGGTATTATTAGGAAAATGGCCTTAGGCCACTCTTCCTAGTGCAGTAATAGAATGCAGGAGATTGCTCGTCCCAAGGCGCGCCCCCCTCCCATCAAGCCCTAAACCTAGACATTAGAACTTTTCAATTTGGGGTTAATATTAATTTCTTACTCAGATTGTCAAGATTATCACATTTAATTTATAGATATCTAGCTTCATAGCATAGATATAGACATTCACTCCCCCATAAAAATTGATCAACAGTCCATGTAGATGTTATCGGTAATAGACTGCCTTGGGATACAATAGTCTACAACTCGGGCTACTGAACCTCAACCTGCACTGCACTATTTTCTGAACCTGGAGTGAAACATTATCTCTAAACGCTACAAAATAGTATACAGTATGACCCTTTCTGATAATTACTACTAGTAACCCGAAAAATCAAGAATCAAAATAAAAATACCAGTGGGGAATCCGCCCTTGCTTGTTTGCAGGTCTAGATAAAGCGATCATAGATCAGCCCTACCATTTCCCAGTTCAGACCTAGCCATATGTACATTTTATGTACAGTGTACACAGCCTCCCGGAGACGCAAGTAAGTAAAAAAAGAAAGAAAGAAAGAAAGAAATCATCACACGAGACAAATAAGCACTAGTCAACTTAATACGACGTCAATAGTATATGCAAGAATGGGCAACGGCCACGTAAGCCAACCCAAACCCCGTGTTAAGTA